TCCGACTTTTTTATTATGTACGTAGTTTGCACCATTGATTGCTGTTGCCACAAACGCTATCTCGTTGCTCTCAAAACCAAACTTAAACTCACCTGTTTGTGATCCAATTATTTCGTACCCATTTCGCTGTAGCTAGTATTCGTGAAGAATGTTTGACGTTGCATGTGGTACAAGTGCAATATTCTTCAAAAATATTGGTTGTATCCTTTGTAGGTCATGCAAATACCGTTTGAATGTTCCAATGTGTATATTAGAATGGTCAGACCCTTGTGCAAACGTAAACATGTATCCAGCGTCAGGCACCATCTAGACGAACTTCGACTCCTCACCGGTCACGCCGAATCTGCAGCCTGAGTCCAACAGCCACGAGTCTCTAATTGTATTTGTTCCTGTATCAAATAAATCATAATACAAAGATAGTACCTTATCCTTAACGTGTTCGCCTGGCGAAGTAGGAGTTTGGATTTCGTTGACGTGTCGATGTTGGCGTAGAGCTTGTTCGCTCGCATCACGTCCAACACTCGACGGAGGTGTCCTAGATGCACCTCCATGGCCGTCTTGCCTCCCTCGGCACGGCTATGGACGAAAATGTCGTCGAAGTACGTCTGTACGAAGGTACGCAAAGGGCGGAACAATTGCGTCACCAGGCGATTGAACGTCGCCGGGGCGTTAGACAAGCCCTGCGGCATGACGAGCCACTCCCAAAGCATGCCGCTTGGAGTGCTTACCGCGGTGAGCGGGATGTCACTCTCTCGCATCAGGATTTGGTAGTATCCGTCTACCAAATCCAGCGCACTGTACAGTACGCTCCCGGCCATGTTGTTCAACAACACATCCTTTCGTGGGATCGGTGTTTGGGCCGGCACCGTTGCGTTGTTCAGCTTGTTATAAGCGTGAACCAGACGCCACTTTCCGTTCGGCTTACGAACGCAGAAAGTCGGCGTCGAGTGCGGGGATTTCGACTCCCGCACCATGCCTGCCTTCGCTTTCGCGGCGAAGAAGGCATCAATGACCTCGCACTGTTCGCGCGGGAGAGGCCATTGCCTCGTGACACAATACTTTGTGCCGTACGCCTCGATCCGGTGGGAGTTGGGTCGGTGGGTGTTTATTCACCACGTCCGCATACTCCGTCACCAAAGGATACACCGGATCCTTGGGGTTCTTGAGAATCTCAGAACCCAAGCGCGCCTGACGCTGCTTGTTCATGTCTTCCAGGACGTTCTCGTCCAAGACAGAGGAGGAGTTCAGCTCCTCCTGAGTGGTCTCAGGTCTCATGAGTACCATCTCAGCGATCTCTCCAGCCTTGAGGTTGGCCAGGAAAGACTCAGCCGTCATTTCCTCGAGGTTCAGTATCTCTGCAACCTCTGGCAACGGTTCCAAGTGGACACCAGATGCCTTGACGGGTAAACCCGTCTCGCTATCGAAGATGTGATAACACTCTTCCACCGGCCTTGTCGGAGGAGCCCGGGCCCTGGACTCCGAGTCGCTTGAAGCGACGTCGATCGGAACGAAGTTCGGATCCGACTTGAGGCGGCGGCGGCGTCTTTGCCGACGGCTTCTGTGACGGGGAGCTTTGCTGCCCACGTCTAGGGATGTCGTCGCTACGACATCCGAGGCACTCGTGGCCTCGTGTGGTACTGTTGTACCCACACAGGAAGCGTGTTCAACGCCTTCCTCTTCAGTTAAGGTCTGGGCGACCGCGTGTGGCACTGTGTTACCCACACAGGAAGCGTGTTCAACGCCTTCCTCTTCAGTTAAGGTCTGGGCGACCGCGTGTGGCACTGTGTTACTCACACAGGAAGCGTATCCGACGTCTTCCTCTTCAGTTATGGTCTGGGCGACCGTGAGTGGAACTCTGTTACCCACTCTGAACACGCTGTTCTCAGTGTTCATGACAGCTGCAGCTGTCTGCGGAACTAAGTTACCCGCCTGTGGACCTAAGTTACCCACTTGGCCGGCGCCTCTTCTGGGCGCGGCCACCATCAAAACATCCTCGGAGTCGTCATATACGTCGACGACTCCCAAGCATCTGCCGGATGCTTTGGTACCCTGGCAGCCCTCGCGGGCGCCCCGGGTCCTGACAGAGGTGGGAACATGACTCACCAATGCTCTGTCGGACTGCGCAGGGCGGCTGGCACCGATTGCCTTGCCTCGCCAGTCGATCCAGGGCTCGTGCTTCTCAAGCCAGGGCATGCCCAGGATCATATCATATGGATCCATATCGAGAACAGTGAACTGTTCGAGGCTGTCAAAGTCTTCAAACTTGACAGCCAGATCCACTTGGACGTTGGGGACAGTGACGACCTTCCCGTCGGCCAGTCGCACTGACACCGTCCCGTTGCCCTTGCTTTCTCGCAAAGCTTCGAACAACTTGTTGCTGTTACGAGCAACCGTCTGGCGGCGTGCGAAATTCTTCGACGCCCCAGAGTCAATCAAGATTCTAAAGGGGTGATCGTACCCCCGTACACATCCGTGTACTACGAGCAACCCGCCGCTGCTCTTCGCCGATTCGAGAGTGCGAAGACTCTCAGGGGCTAAGTCCCCGTGGTACGCGCCACCCGCGCACCCATCACGAAGACTTAGTTCTTCCCCAGTAGGGCGCCCCGCCCCTACTGGTACCCTGCGTTCCCCTGTCCCCGGGATCCTGGCTTCTGCCAGCGACCCTTGAGGACGGGCTTGGGGAAGGACCGTCTGCGGAGTCTTTCCGCGGGACAGTCGCGCTTGAAGTGGCCCATCTTCCCACAGCCGAAGCAGCAGATGTCACGCTGTTCGGCGGACCCGAGTTCCATGGGAACTGGTCCGTTGGGGCTTGTTCGACCGGGAGCCGACAAGGAACTCCCAGGCCACGCTGAGGCCGGCGTACGCGCCTGGCGATGGCTGTATTCTTCTTGAAGAGCCACTTGAATCGCCTCTTCAAGGGTGCTTGCCTGCACCCGGAACAGCTGAGTGCGTGCGGGGCCCACTCGAAGGCCGTCCATGAACACAGTCATCTTGATGTGTTCATTGAGTGGGTTTCCCACTAGGGACGCCGTGAGCTCCCGTATCTCTTGCACATACTCGTGCAGTTCGCGTCTTCCTTGTTTACACGCGAGGAAGCGCGAACGCTGGCGGTACTCGTAGCTCGCCGGGAGGAACGCGGCTCGGAGCTGTTCGCACAGCTGAGCCCAGGATGTGAAACATCCAGGGGATGTCGCTTCCCGAGTGTACACCCAACTCTTAGCACGACCGCTAAGGTTGGAGAGTGCAAAAGCAACACGCAGTTGCTCGGTCGAGAACAGAGCCGCGTCCATCGCGAGCTCTACTTCTCGGACCCAGAAGTGAAGGTTCTCGCCTTCCTTCCCTTCATACGGCTTTACCTTCAGCCGTATTGGCTTCGGGTGAGGCGGGTTTGCTTCCGCCGCCGGAGCCTGCAGGTTCTCCCGCACATGCGCGATGAGGCCCTGCTCGTACGCGTCGAATGCATTGACGCGCTCGAGCTGCTCAGCCGGTGTTGATACCACCAGGCTCTGCAGGGCCTCCATCCCGAAGATGCCTGCCATCTTCCGAACCGACTCGAACTGAGAGTCGTTCATATGGGAGAAGTCGTTCCTATCCATGGCAACGAACTTCGGAGGTTCAGGTAGTCTACCCGCGATGGCGTGGATTGACTACAAGTGCTACCAAGTGTGACGGGGTCACACAGCACCTTGCGCTAGAGGAAGTTATCTAACGAGAGTATACAAACTCTCAGTGAACGGCAGTTCACAGGTCCCCTCTTTAATTAAAAAGAGCGAAGTGACCTAAATAAGGTAGATTGTAAACTGAGTATATTTATAGGTAGGTTAAGTTTGAGGTTAATACAAACTATCAGTTACCTATAGAAATGCAATGTCATTTAACCAATGGTTGGTTTTGAATGACCTTGGTACCTTGTACCAAATATCCCGGAGTATGACATGTCATACTCCTGAAGTGTGAAGTGTCACACTTCATGTAACCAGGGTACACTTAGTGCTACGTACCCCGTTACAAAATTGTCGCGGTCTCCTTCTCTTGTCGGGGTTGTGTATCTTGTGAAAGCCGACGTAGGAACTTAGACGTTATTAGATGTGTAAAATATACTTGTTTCCTATTTGTTTTCTTGAGCACTTCTCGTAAAAGAAGGAAATTCACGACTGAGAGCTCTCTCACGAGCTCTCTACCTTGCCAAAGTACCTCCTACCAACACTAGTACCTCTAGTTGTCGTTCGTAAACGGAGTCAGCGTACCACTGTCTGAACTCCTTCGTTCCAATTTAGACTAGGGACGAGGTAGCCGGTGACGGGGAACGAGACTGATCGGGCCTGACACTCTTCTTACGCCGCTCGCTAAATTGCCGTAGGCAGTCGTCCAGAATAGCGAGTCCTTCCTCTAGCCGAAGACCGTGACAGAAGGAAGCGATCTCGTTTACGGTATCCCTGATACTGTACTGTACCGTATCAGAAAAGACACCCAGGGGCTATTAATAGTGGCAACCAAATATCAAATGATTTGTTTTTAATGTAATAGTACTTTTTCTATATTTAATATTAATAGTAGCTTAGTTTTTCAAAAATTAAAATAACATTTTGATTATTAATAGCTCAGAGATTTAGAAATATCATATGTTATGATATGTTCCCCCTTAAGTACGTTTCATACCGAGAGAACTCTTTCGGTCAAGCTCTTAAGCAGCAGTAGCGACTGCAGGCTTTAAAAGGCTGAGCGTAGCGATGTGCGCATCAACATATCGATGTTTACGGCCTAAATAATTGGGACCAACCCGCGAGCTCACGATTCATCTTGGCCTCAACTTGATAGAGCCTCGCTGGCGGGGCTCCGCTCGGCTTGTTATCACTATACAGAAATCTGCCTGAATAAGGAACGGGGTTTCAACTAATAACCTCGCAATTTTTATAGTCGGGAAAGATAAAGGGAGATGGGATAGTGATGATGACAATACCGGTACAATCCAGGCACTGACTTTGATTTCAATTTAAAAAATGGCGCGCAGTAGTGTGACAGGAATGCTGCCTGAAGATCATAGCGAAATGAGCGAGAAGCGGTTTCTCAGAGTCGGCGACAAGATACACGAAGACCCTCGCACTGAGGAAAGAGTGAACGTGGACCTTTTTCTTCGGGATATTGACCTTTCAATCAAAGAAGCGGCCAAGTGGAAGGCCCAATTTATAACGTGGAAGGTGCTGGGGAAAACTTCGTTTACATTTACATTCAAGATCACTAGCCGACTGCGTCCTCAGCACCCCCATGTCCTCCAATCGTCTCCGCCTCACCTGGTCCGAGAAGGTAGCCATCCTCAAGAAGGCTGCTCGCTCACCTAGTCTGTCGTAAAATGAGCTAGCTGAGTGGGCGGTTGAAGAGTTTGGGCTTCCAACGGCCCCTGGCAAAACGACAAAATACCGCATACTTAAATCAAGTGCTGTGCTGCGCGGACGGCCTGTGGAGAAGGCTGTACGATCTAAAGTTAGCGCTTTCACGATTCAGCAGTGCTGCTGAATCAGCACTGCTGGAATATCACTTTGGTCTCTTTCAAAAGTCGAATCTTCAATTTATCCTAACTTAATTCAATACATGCACATGATCCGATATCATAGTCTGTTTCTAGCGAGGCATTGTCAGCTTATGCAATCTCTTTCTTAATTTATATCAGGCGCTCCTTATTCAGGCAGATTTCTGTATAAACTTCACCAATTTTGGAAATACCATTGACAAAAAAATGTTTACGCACACAAGGATTGCGCGTGCTGGTCGTCTGTACTTGTTCATACTCGTCTGTTCAATAATGACGAAGCCGTCGAAGACTGGCAGCAATTGTGCTGGATTGCACTTTGGACTTGATGTCTGCGGTGGGCGTATCCGTTCTGATTGTTTTGAACTATGTGGACGTTTTCAATGCTGAGATCATGAGTTTCAGCTCCGAACTGCTAGAAGACAGCGATTGGATGGCTCAGATGCTCGACGAAGCGAGACTGGTGCTTGTATCTTCATGGTCAGATTTGGTTTCTCGCGTAGTATTTGCTCTTGGTATCATTGCAGCCATCGCAAGTATGAAAGAATTACTACGCTGGAAACCTGGCAGAGGGAATCAAGTGGCACACACTCAAGGGCCCAATACTGCAGATCTCAAACAACGTGGACAAAAATCGGTTAAACCAATTGTCTCTCGCCACACAGCCTCAAGAGTAACTAAACAAGATCATGTTGGGGGCAACTAGGAATCTACAAGTGTCTGATTCCACGGAATTTCGGATGCTACAACGCTCATTTATCGCATCGAACGCGGTGTATGATCTTCAATGTTGTTCATTGTGTATTCTTCGCATGGGGTACTGTAGTTTTATCTTTGCACGTGCAAGCATCATCGAAGGCGCCATTGGTGGAATGTAGTCCTAAGGTATACCCTATGACTGGAGCACTTCCTGCATGTTTTTCAGTGGAATTTAATTGTTACAAAATGGGAATAACTGGGTCAATAGTCGATGTATTAGATCAGTGGAAACGATTCGACCACACTACCGTAGTGAAGCTACACGTTCTGCATTGTCCTGACCTTGAAATCCCTACAATGTTCCAAGAACTTATTCGACTGTGTGAAATCTGGATCTACAACTCGACAATTCGAGACTGGGGCCCTGACGCTGCAGTCACAAATTCGTGTCATCCCAACTTGACAGTGTTATCAATGATTCGAACCAATATGACGGATGGACTTCTTCCTCTCGGGTTGCAGTCGAATGACTTCCCGATTAACCTATTCGTGTCATCCCAACTTGACAGTGTTATCAATGATTCGAACCAATATGACGGATGGACTTCTTCCTCTCGGGTTGCAGTCGAATGACTTCCCGATTAACCTCACGCAAATAACCTTTTGCGAGACAAATTTGAAGACACTACCGGACAATATCGATGAGAAGTGGGATGTTAATGCGAGCATCTACATTGAAAATAGTCAGCTTCCGAGTATTCCGTTGTCGCTCATACGACTGCAACCAAACTCTCTATCACTTGCAGGAAACCCTATCAAAGTGCTACCCCCGTCAACTACTCGAAACTTCGGCTATCCAGCATGTAACTCTTAGCTATACCAATGTGAACGAGCTACCACGTGAGGTGACGTTTTCACCAATGATTATCGATGCATCTGGGACTAAGATTTCGTTCTTCTGGTCGTGGATTGATCTATTTGTGGAGAGACGAGTAGAAGGCACACCAAATATTATCGCGAGTGGAACTCCCTACTGTGCGGATTTGGAAAAGATTGTCAACGGATTGGCCAGCGACTTTCGTGAAGCTTTTATTCCAGGTTACTCTAGATATCTGATGAATGCATCCGAGATGAATTGGCATTTTCTTTGACAAGCAATCGACTGCGACGACTACCAAGTTTTCCAATTAAGTCGTGGGATACGAAGTATGGAATGACATCGTAGCTTTAACAAAGGAGATGGAAATAAGTCTTAAATCGCGAAGCATTTTTCAAATATGCTATGGTAATGGCGAAAACTGTACCCCTTCGTTGAAAAGATGACAGATTTTGAAACTGATACTTTTTCTGTTGTTCGTATTTTTTGCGACTATTATGGCGTACACTGGTAAGACTAGTCGGTTCCTTCGTTGGCCATGACCTCGATACGTAGCACAGTTACTGTACTTCGAAGTACAGTAGGTCTGTAGAAGGTTTAGCTTACTTGTGCAAAACGTACACCGACGTGTTGTATAATTAAATTATTATGCAACTTCCACAACCAGAATTATTCTACCACATATTGGGAGAAACAACTTGAGCATTACTTGTACAGTATCTAATATCCGTGCGAAATCTGTACTATTCGTACTTGATCGAGAAAAGCATCTTATCTCAGTTGATATCGCGCCCCCAAAACTTCGGTGGGTCTCCGCTCTCTTAGCGCGCTCTGACGGTCGGATTTTCGCACCAGTGGAAAGAAGTTGGTTTCTCAAGACTTGAAAAAATATGTTTGGAGGAAGATTTTATATATTTAGACGATCGCCCTAGGTCGCTTTCGCAGCAGCCTTCGCCATGTCAGTGACAAAATCCAGATATTGAATGGCTATCTTGTTCCACTTGTCGTTGCTGAACTTGACATGTTGAGCGAAAGCACTAAAAACAAGCTGAGGATGGACGTTTTCCTTGTGCCATGCGTGAAATACTGCGCTTTTGGTGTCGACATTCTTGAGCATATTCTTTACCGTAACGTCATCCAATTGGTCTGCGATTTTCTGCACTTGCGCGGCCTTAGCTGCTTTCTCTGCGGCTTCAGCCACTGCTTTCACTTCGACCTTTGCGATATCCAACGCCTCCCTGATCTCCTTAATGCCCTCAGCCTTACGGAGGTTTTGTAGCCTTTTCCACCCGGAAAGCCCGTTCAGAATTCGTTCTTCCTTTGAGTCCTCAGTCAGAAGTTCAGTCGCTTCGATCGCTTCCACAGATTTCAAGACTCGACGGAACGCTTGGCTTTCAAGGCTCTCCGCGTCATTTGCGTCATCATTCGTCGAAACTGTCTTCTGCTTCAAGCGTTTGCGCGTCCCTGTGTCTGTCGGACGAGCACTGGTGTCTACAAGGAGCGCGACCGAAGCCGTGGCGAGTAGGATAAGCGATAGGCGCATTCTTTTGGTTTGGGCCGAGAAGAGAATTCTGGAGTCAAGACACCTTGAGAGATATTTGAAAAGTGAAGAACTCTCCATCATTCCGGTTCGTGAGACGACTGGCGAGGAGACTAAACCGTGTATGACTGATACCTCATTTACCTACAGTGAGCAGGCTTAACAAGGAAATCAATGTCGATATAGAAAAATCAAGTTAATGATACATTAGAGGGTCGAGCCTTTATTAAAACTTAAAGATAAAAATATGTTGCATAAGATGCTATAGGCTATCTGTTTTGTATGTTCGCTTTGAGGCACTCACTGTACTGGCTTCATTGAAACTGAAATAAATTAATATTGGCTTCCGTGCACGTTAACAAATCTTGGTATTATCCTGCTAGATAATCATCTGTTTGGCATTACATGTATCTCAGGCTGAGATTCTCAGCAAACCACGGCCGCACGCTCGAGAAACAAGTTGTCACACTGAGGGCATCGAAGAACACCTGATAAAAATGTAGTTTAAAGGATAAATGCGAGATTACAGGAAAACAAAAGATGTGAGTTGTAATTTGACCCAAGATCAGACGCAAAACATATTGGTGTTATTTATAAAGACGGACTACTGTACCAAGTCGAAATGAAAACCCACCCTCTACCATATTCCAGCTCTGGGTCACTATTAAAATAAAAGTACCGTACTCCAGACATTAAGTAAAACCCCCCTATCAAAACCTCTTTGATGAAGTAAATGTACCAGTTTATGCTACAGTTGAGGGAAATGAGTCCTATCCGCGCAACAGTAAACTAACGAAAAAACCGGTTTGAATCATATACTTGCTCGTTTTATAGGCTTGTACACTTTGGAAAGTCGTCTCCACTATCTTTCGACAGACAAGAATTACATAAAAGTACCGTCCATTAACACCCCGCCGACTAACGATATTCGCATATGTAGCCGTTGCTCTCCGAAGCATTTGGAAGGTTGACGTCCCCTGTTTACGAACATGGAAATTTACAGTCCCCATATTGTTAAATAATGCCTTGCCTTGTTTCGCTTAATTGTTGACTGAGACCAGGGATAAAACACTAAGCAACGCTCGCGAAATGACCCAACCAGCATGAGAAGGAAGAGTCCACCATTTAGAAATGCTAAAGCTGCATACACGTAGGAAATTGTACGAAAGTCAGTGCGAGACATTCCAACGTCGTACGAGTCTAGCGAATAGCTCAAAACAGTCAAGCCGATTATCCAGTAGAACTTGGCGTAGCACAAGTGAAAAAGGAAGGTGACCAGATGAACGCCGAGGATGAAGAGCCAAACCCACGAAATGAAAGCGCCACAAACTCCGTCTGAGGGGTCCTTGAAAGAGTCGCAGGCGCGATCATCGCGCCAATTAATGATGTAAAAATACACCTACTAGGTTTTCTACCAAGTGTTAATACTAACAAAATAAATCCGGATAATACTTCGTATATTAAGCCATTTCATTTCTCCAGTGCGCACACAAAATAGTCCAATATAAAATGTAAGATTATGTGTCAGACGCCAAATTCACATGACAGGAAAATAACGAAGTCCGTGATAATGAGCTTAAGTATTCCGTGCTCCGCTTACTTTTGCTCACCCGATACTGTACCAAGACCTCACCAATACTGCTCTGGCCGAAGACGAAAACATGGCAATAATATCCCGTGCGAATCTGTGCAATTGACTGCGTCTCTGTTGTGTGAGCTGCCCTTTAAATCCGCCGAAAATTCAAGTCACAACACGCATAAAGCCTCAATCCCGGACCAAAAGTCGCCGTGGATCACCATTCATGGGGCTAAAAGCGCCATTTTAGTGAACGACAGAATACAAGTAAAACTTGTGGACGTGTCAGAGCCGGAAGAGGCGAGAAAGGCGACTCAGAAGGTCATTCAGACCGCTAAAGAGGTCCAGGCAATGACATTCTGCGGCTGTGGAGAGTTCCTCGCAGTCGCTGACGCTACAGGAACGCTGTCTCTGTATAAGAGCAATGGGGCTTTATTGTTCGGACACCGGATAATGCGCGAGGACTCGGACAGTGTCGTCTCGATTAAATTTGCCACTTCGGAAGGCAAAAAGAGCTCGAGCGACGCGCAGGAGCTGGTGGTGGTAACCCGATTGGGACTATTATTGCGAATATGCGGCTTGAGACTCGCTGCGTTCGAGAAATTGGTGCTGGAGAAGCCCAAGGAGGCGCTGAGCGAGATTCTGCGGACCATTCGCTTTAACCGGACGACTTTTTCGGGCGGCTACAAGCTACTGCGCAGTCGTGTGTGCTGGTAAGTGTCGATAAAGCGGATATGTCTATAATTTTTTGAGAGGTTTTACTTATATTGTTGTAGACACATCACTTTCAGTCGGAAAATTTTGTGCTTCTAGGGAATCATGGAGCGTTTCTGAGTGTGTGGAAGTCGAATGATACGGAGATCGAGGTGCGAGTGGTCGAGACCTTACGATTGTCCAAAAGTTGAGGTGTTGACGTGGATTTGCGGTCTAGAAAGTGGCGGGGAACGACTCCAGATCGACTCACGTAGAGGCGATGGACTTTGACGCCAACTACAGCGCGCTTGTGGTTCTCTGTGAAGGAAAACTCTCTTGGTATGGAGGATGTAGACTGCGATTATGACGTTTTGCTAACGTAATATTTGTGGTAGGTGGAATTGGCGAGACATGACCGAGTTGAAGGAGGCAGCTGTGTCCGGAATAATGAGCTTTGCGGTGGTCGGAGATCGTGGAGAGAGCGAATCGAACTCGACGTCGCTACTCGTTGTGGCCAGAGCTGCTGAAGACGCCAATGCCACACCATCGTTTCAATTGGTTGAAATCTCGCACGATGACTCTGGCGATGCTAACACTGTAGCGGTCTTGGACTGGACTGATAGCGTGTACAGGGACGTCGCGCTATTCGCAAGAATCGGTGGCTCTAGTCACTGCCAAGCACTCGCAGCGTGTCGAACCGAAGGCGGTGTCACGATGGTACTACTGACTGGGGATCATAGTATTACGGACGATAGTATTGGAAGTGAAGGAGAGGAGAGTGTTGGTGAAGATACCGTCACGATGGCCGAGTCGCTAGTGGACACATCGATCTCGTCTTTGACGCACAAAGGAAGGATGAAGCGGTATCAGACTAAGCTTGATGCTTGTACTCGCTGCATTGGAGACAGCGAGGAAGATTCCCGCGTTATTCTCAAGATCTTACTGGCAGTAGCAGCGAGGATTCGGGAGTACACAAGCTCGTCACCAAAATTGTCGTCTCGCATGGCAAGTTTACTGCATTGGTGCGATGAAATCAGCGACTTGTCGTACAAGTGGACCACATTCCAGCTACTGCGTAGTTCGTCTACACGTGACACACTACGCGAGAAATGGCGTCGATTTCGATCACGTGGTGTGGCTGAATTGCTGGAAAAGTACATGAAATTGGGCAACATGAGAGCTGTAAGGCTACTGTGGAGTCGTCACGTAGACGACGCTACTGTCCACAGCATCGGTAAGCTACTCGAGGGTCTACCCGCGTCACTTCCTGTATCAGCGTATGCGAATTGGCTCCAGAATGAGGTTCTACCCTTGCTGATCCATCAGGCTCAGTCACAAGCGACGGAGACTGGCACTGAGTCTCTCCTCGACCAAGTAGCGCTGTGGCTGCTAAAGAGAGCGGAAGATGCCGCAGCTATTAGAGATTTGGACTCGGCTATGCGCATCTGCAGTCTACTCAAACCCGAGGACAGACACTACGATGCAGTTGGAGCTGCAGACGTCGAGTAGATCGACCAACACTGACGTCCAACAGCCGAATGTCTTTAAACGTATGGAACATTTACGTGAAAAGTTACGACACGTGAAGTATCTTTCAGTGGAGCATCAATTCGACATTTCGCTGCCGGTTTTCGAGGACGAAACACCGGCAACCATCGCCATGAGTATGCTGGACCGTGTATGCGATGCTGCTTTACTCAAGAATGCAATGGAGAAACATGTGCGTAAATATCTTGGCTTCTGTGGCGTTAAAGTCGACTCAGTGCTACACGACTACGTGACGGAGCTGGCAGAATCCGTCCAGACTGCTCAATCCACTGAAGAACTCAGAGCGCTGGTGTTATTGAAGGAAATCTCGGATATTAACGTGTTGGAAGTAGTGGCTTGCGTTACGTGAGATCGATCACGTAACGCCAGCAAATACCTGTCGACAGCAACCAACGCTGAGACCTAACAGAAACGGATGCACAAGCAGTTAGCTAGGGTAACCACGTAGCTAGCGACAACCTTTATTCATTCTCAATTCTACTTAGTGCGAGGCACTACTACATTACGTTGCGGCGCGGCGCGTTACCTGAGGATCAAATCTACCCTTTCATTTGGTTATGTGCCCAGCCAACTGCGACTAATAATAATACGCGAAGCGACGTCGAAGATCAAGGCGGAATGAATGCACGAGGTGCTGACGTCTTCGCTGACGCTCGTGAAGGTCCACGGCCGAACACGCTGGGTTTCCCTGATGATCTTCGCTTTGATGAAGCCGATCGCGAAAGTGTAGAGCTACACAGCCAGCTCCAGCTGATACGGCAGCTACAAAGTGAACTTGCGGCAGTGAGGACGCAACTGGACGCTAGAACACTATCAATGTCAGACACTAGCATGGCCACAGCTCCTCCTACCCCCAAGAAACCTAAGATTAAGGATGTTCGATGCCCGAACTTTAAAGGAACCGAGGTCTACCCTGGTCTTGGCGCAGGATTCGAGAACTTCATCCATGAATTCGAGCACGCAGTCAGGACAGAAGGACTCGTGAATGGCTCGACATGGACGGACGAGTTCAAGGCGTCAATAATTGTCAGCTTTCTCGAAGGTAACGCATCCAGACACTACCACAAGAAAAATGAAGAGTGGAGACAGCGTCATGAAGGAGAAGACATGCCATACTCCGAGGTGAAGCGAGCGCTACTAACAGAGTTTGGCTGCAAACTTAGTCAACTCGAACTTAGCACGAAGATGCAATGCTACAAGCGTGAAGGCGATTCATGGCACGATTACGTGGAATATTTGAACTTCATTGAGAGCTTAATGGAGGGCGACCAGACAAAACTTGTCATGGAAGTATTTGGCAACAACGCGTGCCCTGAGCTTGCCCCTACGCTGTTATCCTCAATATCGGAGAGTCAACAGACTACGCCGCGGAAACGGACCGCATGAAGCGCCTGCTTTATAAATTGAAGGGCGATGGTCACAAAAGTGGCGTTCAGCGTAAAAATCGCCACGGAGACCGCAGTAAATCGCATGGTGCTCGCAACCACGAGCGCAACAATCGCTTTATTGACCACAATGATGGGGGTAGCCACGGAAATAATGGCGACTATGCTGCTAAGTCGACTCCCCATCAAAATAACGGTCAAGCATTTGCTACCACTGGGAATCGAGGCGAGATACGCTGTCACGTATGCGGTCAACCTGGACACAAGATTTTTTCGTGTCCAGTGGTTGAACAGGCAAAACGAATGGCGTCAAGCGGGAATGCTAACATCGCGGCTGCTAGTGAAGAATGTGAGGAAGATAAGGACTCGGCACACGACTCCGACGCTGAAGCCCACGTCTGGATGGCGGTAAAAGCTACTAAGCAGCCTGAGCACGATGGTACGTGGACAGTCGATTCAGGAGCTACTCACCATTTGTGCAGCGACCGCCGTCAGCTTTTCGCGATGGAACTTGCTTACTTATCCGTCCGAGTTGCAAACGGAAATCTCGTTCCGGCTACAGAGCGAGGTAGTACGGTTATCACTGTGACTGTGAAAGGAGTTAAGCGAGCTATTTTGCTGGAGAACGTGTATTTCGCGAAGGATATCGATCACAATTTGATTTCGGTTGGTCAGCTGAGTAAGAAAGGCATCTCGTGCACCTTCGGTGAAAATGAGAAGTGCATTATTCGAAGCAAAACTGGCAAAGTTCTTGCGGAAGTGGGCCGATCTCCTACTAACAGCCTATGGTCTATCGGGATTGAGCAAGGTGCAGCCTCATTCGCAGCGATGACGTCCTCTACACTCCGGCAATGGCATGAGCGACTCGGCCATGTTAATTATCAGGATCTTGTTCGAATGCTCGACAAGAAGCTCGTTGAAGGCATGATCGCTACGAACAGAAATGTGAATTTTTGCATGAATTGCGCGGAAGCAAAGCAAGCTCGTCGAGCTAAAAACACGCATGATACTTCCACTTCGGCCCCAACGGATGAACCAGGTGCAACACTTTGTGAAGACTTGAAGACCGACATGACTCCAGATCGCCTAGGCCATAAGCACATTTTGACCATTGTCGACCACGCTACAAATTTCAACCGGGTCTATCTCCTTTACAAAAAGAGTGATGCTGAGGGAAATATTGAAGACTTCATTAACGAGTTCGAACGTCAGTATGACATCAAGGTGAAGGTCCTCCGATCTGATGGAGGTGGTGAATTTGGAAGCATGCGCCTTGATCGTTTTCTGTTGAATCGAGGAATTCGACACCAGTCAACCGAGGCAGGAATGTCCTCGTCAAACGGTAAAGCCGAGCGCTTTCATATAACTGTGATGGATTCGGCCCGGGCGATGTTGTGGGCCTCCGCGTTGCCTCAACGCTTCTGGGGTGATGCTGTTCTCTATGCGAGCTACATCCGCAACCACTTGCCGACTAGATCGAACGCAGACCATGCATCACCGATCGAAGCTCTCACGGGTAAAACACCGAGTATCTCCCACATACTACGGTTCGGGGCTAAGTGTACCAGCCATATTGCTCATACAGCTAAGAAATCGACTAAAAAACGTGCTGAGAAAGGAATCATCGTCGGAATTGACGCCCATAAGAAGGCATACAAGGTTTTCATCCCGCGTACCAAGCGTATGGTGACCACTACTCATATTCAAAATATTGACCGCATTGATGCGCGAGCTGTGGGGCGATACATGGATGCCGTCGACAAAGAACAAATCAGGGGTGAGACTGCGGCTGGCAACGGCGAGCAAGAAAACACTCGCAAACCCTATGAACAAACGGAAGATAATGGCGTACAACCCGAGGACGCGGAAGGCAATCATGAGCCGAGTGCACGCGCAATCCAGCGCGTCTTTGGTCTGAACCGCGGAGCTCGGCCGCTCCCAAATAACGACTTCACGTAGCCTCAGTCCTTTATCGATGAGTTTTCGACTCCAGTAAGTGCGTTACTCACTGTATCACTTCAAGGCGGAGCAGCACTATCGACTCTGCTCGCAGGTAAGAACATTACAGAGCCGACAACTGTCAAGGAAGCTAGATGCAGCTCACAATGGCCAGAATGGGAAAGGGCGATGCAGGAGGAGCTGCGAGCTATTGCCGAAAATGCAACGTGGGAAATTGTTGATACACCCATTGACGGAAACCTGATAACTGCGAAATGGGTATTTAAGCTGAAGTTCGACAACAAGGGCGAAGTCGAGCGATTTAAGGCTAGACTTGTCGCACGTGGCTTCAACCAGAAGTAAGGTATCGACTTCGGAGAAACGTTTTCCCCGGTGTTGAAGATCGCTAGTCTGCGACTTATTGTCGCTTTAGCAGCACTTTGGCAAGCCGTCATCCGTCAAGGAGACGTACCAAACGCATACCTACGAGCCGCGTTGGACCGGGCTATCTACCTGAAAGCACCAGAAGGCCTAAAACTACCAAAAGGAAAGTCGCTGCGGCTGCTTAAGAGCCTTTACGGTCTAAAGCAAAGCGGAAAACTCTGGAATGACGAGATTCACAACTACCTACTAGAATTAGGCTTCGAGCGAAGCAAGCTCGACCCATGCCTGTACTTCCGGCGGTCCGATGGTAAGCTGACAGTGTTGGGATTGTACGTCGACGACGTTATTATCGTCAGCCAGCGAAGCAGCGATACAGACTGGACGATAAAGATGCTCAACAACCAATTCCAAATCAAGGACATGGGCGAGGCCAAGAAATGCTTGGGCATCTGTATCGAGCAGACCGAATCGGGCATCTTCCTACAACAATCTGCCAATATTGACCAACTTCTTACAAAACTTGGCATGGAAAATTGTCGTCCTGTCGCAACACCAATGGAATCGACGCGTGCATTAGAGACAGAGGACAGCGAGCCCTTCTTCGACACAGACGCTATGCGAGAGACAATCGGATCGTTACTATGGTTAAGCACGTGTACAAGGCCAGATATCACCATGCCGGTGAACTATCTCGCTCGTTTTGTTTCGTCCCCGACTACTGCTCATTGGACAGGTATCAAACGAGTGCTACGCTACCTACAAGGATCGCGAGGATTGAAACTCGCATTCATTAAGCCTCAAGGATTACAACAACATGCTAAAGCAGTCATTTTCAGTGATGCTGACTGGGCTGGCGGCAAGGACGCTAAGTCTACGTCTGGTGGCCTCCTAGTAATGAACGACATGCCCATCTCGTGGTACAGCAAGAAGCAGTCTACAGTGGCCTTGTCAACGGCCGAAGCCGAATATATTGCAGGTGCGACTGCGGTGCAGAATTGCCTATGGGTAAAACAATTGCTTGAAGAGCTCAACCTGGGCAATTAAGATACCGTTATCCTCAACATCGACAACCAGAGCGCCATAAAAAATATGGAGAACGATGTCACCACGGCACGCATGAAACATATTAACATCAAGTTTCACTTCATACGCGAAGCAATTCGCAACAAGGACATTGAAGTGCGCTACTGTCCTACAACAGATATGAGGGCCGACATTCTGACCAAACCTCTTGGCGCTACGTTGCTTGGGCGAAATGTGACTATGCTGAAGCTGGTCATGTAAAAGATGTACGGTTGTTGCCGTCGAGGAGGAGTGTTGGAAGTAGTGGCTTGCGTCACGTGAGATCGATCACGTAACGCCAGCAAATACCTGTCGACAGCAACCAACGCTGAGACCTAACAGAAACGGATGCACAAGCAGTTAGCTAGGGTAACCACGTAGCTAGCGACAACCTTTATTCATTCTCAATTCTACTTAGTGCGAGGCTCTACTACATTACGTTGCGGCGCGGCGCGTTACCTGAGGATCAAATCTACCCTTTCATTTTAACGTGCGTGCAGATGCTACCCTGACCTTGTTGAGGTCTTCGCTCCCTCCGTATTCGGACGCATTGAAGCGATCCGCCCACAACGCCACGCAA